TTTTATATTCTATAACATATTTTTATGGTTTGTATTCGAGTAAAAACTGCTCCACGATGCATCATGTATAAAGCAATATTGTGCAATTAATGTAAACTGAAATAAAAATTCAATTTAAAGTTTAATTTTTTTAATTACATAAATATGAAATTAATTATACGCTAAATCAGTAATAATCAAAAATTTTTTAAACAAATAATGAATATAAATTACTGCTATTGCTTTCCAAAGGAAACAAGCTCAATGCTCATAAATTAAAACAGGTAACCATGTAAAAGGGAAAAGTATCATCTAAATTTAAAAAAAAATTTTTTTCAAAGTATTCTGCTTTAAGAAACAAAGCATTGCTAATAGAAATTAATATAAGTTATAACGAATTAAATTTAAGATTAAGTTGAAAAATTTTTGGAAACTTGAGAAAGAAAAGTTGAAAAACAATAAATTAATTAAAATAAATGAAGACTGGGCTAAATCGTTTTCAAGGGGACAGCCGAGAAATGATTATTCCTCCTTTATTTAATAATTAGAACTTTTCTTAATTCGGGCTATATTTATAACCGGATCCAAAGTAATTCAAGACGTAGAATTAATTATTTTATGAAATAATTAATTTAATAAATAATATAATTTACTTTATTTCTACATTATCCCAATATAGCTTTAATTTTCGTAAAAATTACTAAATGCAATATTAATCAAATAAAACGCTTCTGTAATTTTACTGTAAGGGATTTTCCTGCTCCCTAATCAAAATTTTAGACGAAAGCTTTCCTTTTTACATTCTTTAACTTAAGTCGGAAAAAAAAAAAAAAAAAAAAAAAACTAATGGCGTCGTCTTTCCCCACGACATATCGCTGAAAGCAAAACGCGCTGGAAATCACTATTTGAGAAACAATTATTCGGACAAAAAATGGAAAAATATTGTCACAAAAGATGAATCTAGAATACATTTAAATGAACGCAATAAAAAGAGATCCATTTATTACCATCAAAGAAAAGAAAAAAATTAAAAATTTAGAACATGGTTCAAAGAATCTAAAGAAAATTTTTCAAAGGGATTTATGGTTTTTGTTGGTTTTTGATATAACTACAATTAAAAATTGAATAGATTGCAGAAAGAAAACTGTTAAAGTCAACTCCACATATTATCAGGAACATATTTTGTATCCAGTTTCCAAATATGAAATATCTTCTCTTTACTCACAGTGCCATACACAAAGAAAGGAGCCACAAGTCAAAACCCACTGTTAATTTCGCGGAAAAAAATGAAACAAGAAACGAGTATCGCCATACCCTTCATTCATATCCCTAATAAATTTTCTGATATATCATCCAACGGATTTTTGCGCTTTTTAAATTTTAAAAAGCGGTTTATTCAGACTTCGACCTAACCTCTTTGGATTTTGGAAAACTCTTCAAGAGGAACGGGATAAAATACCTCTTCCGCTACTAAAAAAAGTTTTATTGTCTTGGGAAATTACGGTGCAGAAAGATAGTGAAGGATAAGTGTTATCAAATGGAACATTCAAAACGGAAACATTTTAAGTAAAATATTTCTGTGAACACAAGGAAAATCGTCTAAAAACTATGCGAAGAGCCTTAGTAGCTCTGAAATGTATCATTTCAAAATTAATTATTGTCATATTTTCTTTTATAATGACCATAATTCCAGTACTTACATAACGCAGGATGTCTCTCAGCTAATAACAACATTAAAATTTCAAGTATCAAAATTTTAGTCAGCCAGTGGAATTAAAATAGAACCATAACTTATCTAATTTTAATGAACAATTTTTTCTTTTCACGCTTGGTTAAATGACTTAAAATCGCACTTATTAGACGATTCTCATTAAGGAAAAATGAAAGAACTAATGAGGAAATATGAAAATTGCAGAAACAGCATAACATTTTGTACGAAGGAGCTAATATGTGTAAATCTGCTTATAGTAATAGTTAATTTACAATGCATAAAATGAAAACAAAATGGTTTATCACAATACGAATTTTGCGAAATGTTGTACATAATGTATCCTTGCAAAAAGAATAAAAATATATTTATTTCTAGTGCATATGCCCTCACATATTAAGAGAAAAAAAAAAGAATGAGCACCACGTGCAAGAGACAGAAATGTGTCTTACGTTCGGTGTTATTGCCTCATGAAGTCACGTGCTTCAAATATAGCATAAATTTGACCTTTATGCCATATTTACATAAACTTGATTTTTGTGTCAGGGAGATGGCAAGGTAAATAATTAGCTTACGATCTATTTAAAATTCTACTCTACACTTGTCCATTACCTTGTAATGCAAGTTAAAAGTGAGAAGTGAATAAATATATTCCTTTAAAAATTAATAGTTTTCAAAAGCATTCACAAAAGTCTGCAAAGGGATTAAAAGAATTTAACTGAAAGTGATTTCAAAAACTGCACATGCAAGCAATATATGGGCTAACACAAATAGATTGCTTAAAAAAAAATGAAAAGATATACAAAATTTTATTAGGATATCGTAGAAGATTAACGATTTCTAAAAAAAATAGATTAAATTTATTCTGTGTGAGCTAGTATTTTTTGTTTATAAAATTTAGAACGTTTTCTCAGAAATTTATCTTACAACTTTATTTAGCATAGGACAAATATAAAATTCCTCAAGAAGTTCTAATGTTCATTAAATCACCTCAATTTGAATAACATTCAAAATTGACAAGTGTAAACAGCAAAAATGTTCTTTTGATAATTTTAGAACTTTAATATTAATTTTTAAAAGTTTTTCAATGAATTATCATTGCCTCTGGAAACAGATTCTTAAGCAAGTATTGTTTATGTTTATAGCATTTTCTGTAAAAAGTTTTATACTTTTTACTGATCGATCAATTAACTATAGGCAGTAAAAATATCTTATACAAATGTTTTTTCAGTATGTGGAATTTTGGTATACATTATTTCATAGTTTTTGTTAAATGACACTTGTTCACAAATTAAGAAAAGCATCAAAGAGAAAATTCACAGAATAAACCATAATGACTGAGACGTTTCAGATTTTGAAAGAAATGTTTTAACCTAGTAATGATACTTTGGTCTCTAAAGTCTTGAAATATTAATGTCAAAATCTTTAGACATGATTTCAGACTGAAAATTTCTTGAATACACTCAGTATGATGTACAAATTGTAACAGACGATAACGAGATTTTTCATTAGCATAAAGAAATCATTCTTTCCTCGCACATTCTGGCAACCTGCAGTATTATTTACAGTAATGTCAATTTTCATTTACTTTAAATATGCTTTTTTAAACCATATATTAGTGTTAAGATAACATTTTGATATAACCTTGGTCAACAGACAAACAAGGTTACGCTCTTTCCAACTATCGAGTTCAGTGATGTTTTTTGACTTATAGAAGTGGGAGAAAGGAAGACACAAAGGGAGTCAGTGATGTCACACACTCAAAGATTTCTGGTCAAGAAGAGCAAATATCTTACAACAATGTTTCTTTTGAATGTATGATTTTTAAGTAATAATTTGTTTAAAACTTCTATTTCCTTCTCTTCTACCCTGAATTAGGCATTAACAAATTAGACTAATTTATTATTAGCAGTGTGATTTAGTTTTAGAACGTAAGTAAGATTTTACTGAAATATCTTCGGCGATAATCTTAGTAGACGAGTGCAAGCATGTTCGAAATTGCTAGAGTTCAAGATCCATTCCCTCCTCAGATTTTAGCATTTTCTTTCTCTTAAACCTTTTCTCCCATACTTTGAAAGAAATTTCTTCGACGTGCACATTGTTTCAAATTCGCAGATTTCATATCTTTGCAAAATAGAAAGAAAAATATTTGGTACAAGCATCGGTAAACAAGGGATCCATTGAAACAACTGCATCGCTATATCTTTAATAATTAAACCTTTTCTGTATTATGTAACTGCAAAAATATACATGTTGGCTTAATTTGCGATAGAACAGCATAACTTTTTCTCATATTTGGCTTTGCCATTTTGAATACTTTAGTTTAATTATAAAATTTTATGCTTTATTTTATATTTTATCTTTAGATTTTAAGGTATAATTTCTAAATTAGGAAGCTTATAAGCTTATCGCAACTGCTTGAATCAATCTGTATTTCGATACCAGGTCTAAATTTCTTTTTAATAATAATTAGATATTAATTTAATATTGTAATAATTAGATATATACTAGCATGATTTAAAATGCAGAGGATAAGAGTATAAAGATGATAGCTTGATTTATTTTTAAGGAATAGGCTTATTAATATATATTTTCGAAAATAGAACTCATTACCAGTATATAAGCACGCTAACATTATTCAGCTATAGCCAATCTGGACTTCCGTTACGGGTTCTGTGGCATGTAATTTTAATTTTATCGTCAAAAGTTGCTACGAAATTCGAAAATGTTAACAAAGCTAATAAAATATTAAAATCGAAAACATGTTTTTTATAAACCGATGTATCTATTTCAATAACAGAAGAAAAAAACTGTGTAGTAAGTTGTAATCACTTTTGTAGTATAATTATGCAATGAAAGATAGAAGAAGATTAGAAAAAGTTCTCAGGTAATAAAAATGATTAATCAACACATACTGTCAATACAGCACAATGGAGATTAGATTAGTCATTTTCAAAGGCAGTTGAGTTTCGACAAGATTCAATTTGAAAGTAATTAACATAAAGCTTTGCTACTGTAGTTAAGATATATTTACGAGAATAACATACAATGGGACATCTATCTACTGCGCGATTAATAGCTGAATGATATATATAACTAATCATTTAATGAAGCAATTATAAATTTTGTTTTGGAAAATACGAAACAGTGGGATGTCTGATACAGCATATTAGTATGCGGAGCTGCTGACTGCCGTGATTAACACATTATACTTTAATAACATTAAAAGTATGATTTTATGATATGGTTAATCAGAACTCATGTTTTCTCATAGTGATTTCAAAGGAACTTAACTTGTTGTTTCTATTTTCAGGTGCTATTTCAAGTTGTTTGCGTCGTTGGTAGTTTTCTTGCTGCTTAATGTAATGTCCTCCCAAAGTGCTCCAGCCTTCAAGCTAAAGAGTTACATGGCATATAGAAAGAATAATGGAGGGTATCCTCCTCGTGCCGATCGTCGGCTTATGGACGGAACTTCTCCCATCCATTTCATAAATCCGTTTGTGCCTCCGTCAGAATCCATGAATCCTTTCGGCAGTTTATACTCTTCTTCAGGGTTGTCGGGATCAGCTGCTGGCTCAGCGGTCTACAGGCTACCCTTGCGTCTATTTTCTAATGGGAAGCCACACAGTGTAATTCATGGATTCCCCAGCAAATCTCATCACGTCATGGACTTCTTGCCGCATGCCTTATCTAATATCATACGGTTGCCACTGAAGTACATTTCGAACGCAAAGCCTATTGGCGTCTACCTCAAAGACCCATCTTTCAACTATTTGTGATGTATGTTCACATTGTATCGAACTTAAGAAATTATAGCAAATCTTTATCAGTTCCACGAAGATGATAAAAACATTGACATTTATACAGATGCATCTTCAGAGACCTTTGCAAATTCAGCAAAGAATTATTTTTTGTTGTTTATCTTAGAAATTTCGTAACAGAAATTTCAATAAGATTCGTTGTTAGCAGCAACATATACATGATCGTTATTTATCAACGTATGCTCCGATGTGAAAGCGAGCTTTGTGAAATGTTCATAATGAAAAAGATGTTTCTCATTCTTTTTTTAATGTCAGAAAGTAAGGAAAAGGAACCTCTATGAGAGAGTATTATAATCTGATTTAAAAAAATAGCGCTGAAATTTCAGTATTTCAAATAATTTCAAAAATTTTACATGAATTTTTTTACATGTAAATTGCATGCTGAATATTTGTATTACAAATCTGTATTTTATTTAAAATAAAAGGCTTTTAACTGCGAAAGAATATTATAAAATGTGTGAAATTTTTTTAATAAGAAACGGGATGCATCTTTAAATTAATGCAAACTAGCATGATTTGTATTAAAGAAGGGTTACGATTTAAGCCAACTTTATGTTGCTAAGAAATTAAGCTATTAATTGAACACATATGGTTTTATAATAATTTAAAAATGCTTACTTGCATCTATCGATATTAAGGTTTTTATAAAATTAACTTTTTGAAAATCGGACTTGGAGGAATTACTTAATGATCTGCATGCGCAATTTAAGAACACATTCATTTTTCAGGAGATGTGTTAACTACGCTTATGTAAAATTTAACTAAATGTTCTGTTTGAAGGTTATAAAATAGAATAATTTTTAATGCAATTAACATTACCATAATTTACTGGCAAAAAGGTGGATATATGATAGCAGTTATTGGTAGCTAGTAAACTTCAGTTTTGTTATTATTTCTCTTCAAATTTTCAATATATTAAAGTTGAAGAAATGGAAATATTTGCACGCATTTTCAATACATAATTTTCTATCTTATGCTTGTAAGAATTCCATAATGGAATTAAAAAATATTATAGATTTTCTAAATGCATATGAAAACTTTGCACCACATTTTCAGTTTAAAATCAAATTTCTTTAAATTCAAGGTAATTTTTTGTGAATAGTAACTTTTATTCCTCCGTATTAAAAACTGAACATATTTATGCAAATGAAAAATACATACATTGCTGGCCATCCAAAATGCAACACAAAGAAGAATAAGAGATATGAAAGCCAAATTTATTGCAGTGATTACACATAGTATCAATGTTAATTGATTTGAAATACAGGCTTCTTCGAAGGAATACGAGAAAATGTTCTTCAATCATTGACCAGACATGTTCGATAGATCTGAAAAACGGGCAGGCCAGGGTAATAGTGCAATATGCTGGGCTAAGAAGAAAGCTTGGCCATTGCGTGGAATGTGTGGTCACGCATTGTCCTATTGAAATGTGAGGCGCTAGCCAGCTCTGAAGTTAAAGAAGGAGAATAAGATGAAAAACATCAGAGATATAGCGTTGGCTGGTAAGTGCGCCGATTATGGAGACTACAAGGATGCAAGAGTGGCCAGTACCACCTCACACCATAATAGCGGATGCAGGACCAGTATGACGATACATAACACAACAGTCGAGCAGCCTTTCTCCACGGTGTCTCCAAACTCTAATCCGAGCATAGTGATGCTGCAGACAGAAGCGTAATTTGCCCGAAAACACAATGTCATGCTAATCGCATGTCTACCTCTGCCGTTCAATGCACCATTGCAAGCGCTAATGCCTGTGGTTTAAAGTTAGAGGTAAGCGAAACAAAGGACGCCTAGCAGACACATCATTATACTGTAAATTGCTCGTGCAGACACCGACGGTTTTGTTGTAGACAGCATTTGTTGTGATATGGTTACGGATGTGGCAGTGCACTCCATCACTGCCACGTGCACAATATGCCTGTCTTATGTGCCCATATGTCATGCGCACCATAATCACAGTATGCCATGGAGTGGTGCGATGAGGCGGTTGTAATTGCTCCTGTCCGTAAATGTTCGAGATTTAGAGGAATGTCAAAATTTACGTTCATATGGCAGAAAACGATCTTGCCCTATGTTCAGCGTTTCCTGTAATGGATTAGAAAGTGATGAAATAACAAAAAGCCTTAAAGTTTATCGCAGGAAAATGAATTTGAGTGTCAAATGTCTTTCAAAATCTATCCATATATTGATTTTTTCAGCATATTCAAATAGTAAAGCTTCCGATACTTTTTTAATCAATAAGAAACAAGATGGATTTGAAGTATAGAATATCCGCTCTTTCAGAGGAACTTTTTGTATATTTTTCAGTGACAAAGAGATTGCTGAGAAGGGTTTTGAAAAATATGTGACGCAAAAGAAAGATTGTTAGAAAATGTTATTGTACAGTAAAAATGATGTAAAACTCTAAAAAATAATTACCTCAAGCAGGTTATTCCTTAAAATTAGTCCACAAATATCTTGTTTTCTACATGAATCTTTGGATATATGACTCTTTTGATTTCTTTCTTAAATGCATTAATTTCTGTATTCTGAATTGATTCGCTTGGAAAGATCAAAACGTTTTAATAAGGAATAAGGTAATCGTAAAACAAATTCTTCTGAAGTGATACCACTACCAGTAACAACTAATTACTAAGTTCTATGGCTTGTATTTTGTTCCTAAAACGAAGTAGGCGTCATAGAACTCAGTTAATAAAAAAAAGAATTAATCAAGTTCGACAGTAAAAAAAAAACTGAAATAAGTTTATAAACTACTTCCTCGCGATTTTCAAAATAAAAAAAAAAATCACATGTTTCAAAGTGTATTTCACGTTATTTGCTGGAGTTATTTACTCTCAAACCAGTTATGAGTGTAAATCATTTCAAGATATGTGCACTTTAGTAATAAACTATTTGAACCAATTTTAATCGCGTGATATACCGAAAAAGAAGGGATTTTTAAAGCAATTATTCCATGCAGTAAATTTTTCTGGAGAAACGTATGCAACTTTTGCTTTCTTTGTTTTATATTCCGCGATCTTTCGCGTAAGATGTTTTTGTAATTATGGACAGAAATGCAAAACTTGTTATGGTATGTTATTGAAATACGTATAATTAAATGTAAGCAATTTTGTTTTGCCCAAAGCCGTAAGGAATTTAACAGAAACTCTTTAAGGAAATACGGTAAACTTTGCAGTAATAAGATCGTTAAAATAACTCTCTCTCATTCCTATGTGGAGCTAATGAGATCTTTAAATACGAAAACATCATCTGGAGTAAATCCTCGTCATCATGAGAACAGGAAGCATAGAGCTTGATAGCTATCAAGGAAGTGTAAGCTTAATTATCAGTTTTTGCGAGGATTATTTTGAATTGGCCTTCTTCTTGTGGAGGTTTTCATTACGATCTGCAACTCGATCATTAAACACACGCGAAGTGCTAGGAATATCTTTAAAAAAAAATCAAGCCCTTTTTTTCCTACAAGATTTCTTAAATATTCTTCCATGCTGTTAATGACCCTTTTAATGTTATCTCCAAGGTATTTCAACTTTAGGTGCTGAAAGATCTTGGAGGTAACATTAAAGGCTATTATTATACTATTATTATTAGTTTGAAAGGGTAAGCAATAACGTGCTGTATTTCAACGGTGTTATTAAGTAATTCTCTCTAGACACGTTAAAAGACGTGATATTTCCATGACACCGAATATTTTTTAAGTAATTTAATTTTTTTAAATTTGTCTAAGATTATTTTTCAAAAACGATAAGCGATAATATGCTGCATTCAAAAAACGTCCTTTTTATAATTCTGCATTTGTATTTAGCCCAAATATTATCGCCCTGTATTATTTTCAAAGAAATTAAACAAAGGAGAAAGTGCTTGAATGTATGTATTTTTCTCCCGCTGTGGAAAAAACGAAGGTACTTAAGCCATCAAATTTTAATAACGTAATCCTCCACCCGAACATGGGCCCCTGCAAGCCTGAATTTTGAATTTCGAATTTGTTTTATTATCTGTTTAACCATTTGTAAAACTTTGTAACGAATTTTTCATTAACAAATTCAATGATTTTAGTGGCAACACTGTACAGAAAAAAACATTTTTATCTCCAGCGCGCGAGACTATCTATCGGAAATTCTAAGGATATGCTGTTTTTAAATATTTTCTGACGTTGTTCTTGAATCGAATTTTATGTGGTTTAAGTGCGAAGAACATGATATTTAATAAATAAAGGTAGCACATAAAACGTTAGAAAACGCCTCTTTGGGCGTGATATAAAATCTAAGATTTTTTTATGATTTTTTTTACTCATCCAATAAAAAAACATTTAAGCACCTTCTGTCGAATATCATTTCGTGCCGAAAATGAATGATAAAGGTCATTCATTTTAATCTAAATAAACTATGCTTCACTCTGTAAAGTTTTTATAGTCTACCTCTACAATTAAATAACTGTTACTAAGGGATACTCCTGTAGCAATTAAATCGCCAATATTATTTATATTTTCTTTTGTATGAAATATACTTTTAATGAAAATTGGTATATAATGAATGTACATCACAGTTAGTATCAATATTTAATTATCGGTGGGCTGATTAGCATGTCACATGAATAACAGGAGCAAGGAAGTGGTACAATGAGGTATTTGAATCCCGATGGTACCAGGTTTCTTTCTCAACATTCTATGAGTGCCTCGGTCAACTATTTCACAGAATATCTAATTGAGTCAAGATCGTGGAAAGAAGCGTTCTAACTTGTATCATCAATCCATCAATTTATAGAATTCACAGATATTACACCATTCTACAGTAATTTGATTACAACAAAATCAACAAAGATTATATAAAATTCATATAATCAGAAAGTCTTGGATAAATCAAAGTTATAGACGAAACGAAATTGTACTGGAGGATATGTGCGTGTTTTTAAAAGAAAAAAATCTGATGTGTACACCACATGACTTCCTTTATTGAATATTAAATTATACGCAATTTTCCTGCATTTCATTTAAACATATTGAATTAACAGTTAACGAATTTGAATTAAATCTACTTCGTAGAGAGCGCATAAACGACAGTAGAATAAATGCACTCTTTAAAGTTCACTATATTTATTTACCATAGCGCTACTTTGGCGCTAGGCTCACTTAATAGCGTAATATCTCATTCATTTTATAACTCAGAGTGCACAAAATCTGAAGAATTCATCTGAAGAATTACCACATGTTCTAATCAACTACTATAATAAATCTAAAATGATATATAAAAGAAATTAAACAAGTAAAAAGGAAACAGTTTCCACACACGATTCAGCGCCGCTTACTAAAAACTTAATTAATTAGTAGCGCACATGCGCTACTAATTAATTCAGTTTTTAGTTAGCCTAAAGGCAAAAATACAAACAAATTCAAAATATTTTTATTAAAAACTGAAAGATATAGAAAAACATAAAACACTAAGTAA